TATACAAAAAGTGTCCATCCTATGTAAAAAAAAAAAACATTTTTCATGACGTCATGATGACAGCACACATTTTTAAAAACTTTCTGTAACTATCTACGACCTAACAAACCTTTTTCAAAAAAGAATTTCGAATTAACCACGTTCCAGTGATGAGATATGAGTAAAAGGTCCAAAAATTGCATAATTTATATAAAATCACATGCTGACGTCATTGTGACGTCACTGCATTTTTTTTCTATAACACGTCCCGGAATAGTTGCATACCAAGTTTGAACCCAATTGGACCTCCGATTCTGTAGATATAGGGCCTTAAAATATGCACTTTAAGGATGACGTCGTGTGACACGTGATGACGTCATGATGAAGTCATGATTCGGCATACATCTTCAGATGGTTGTATAAGTGTGTGCCAGGTTTGAAGTCGATCGGGCCGTTTTTTATAGAATTTTTGCAAAATTTGAAGAAAATATTAAAATTCGAAAAATTCATAAAAAATCAGATGATGACGTCATGATAACGTCACTTCAGATTTTGAATGCTGTTATCTATACCTACCAACCCACCAAGTTTCATGACGATCGGACATACCCTTATACGTGAATCAAAAAATCACGTTTTTGATGACGTCATGATGACGTCACACATTATACGAAATTATGTGCATCTATCTATGACCTAACAAACCGGTTACAAAACAAATTTCGAATTTACCACATTCCGTTTATGAGATATGAGTAAAAGGTCCAAAAATTGAATAATTAATATAAAATCACACGATGACGTCATCATGACGTCACTGCAATTTTTGTCTATAACACGTCCCGGAATACTTGCATACAAAGTTTGAACCAAATCAGACTTTCGGTTCTGTAGATATAGGGCCTTAAAGTATGTTGTTTTAAGATGACGTCACGTGACACGTGATGACGCCATGATGACGTCATGATTCGGCATACATCTTCAGATGGTGGTCTAAGTGTGTGCCAGGTTTGAAGTCGATCGGATTTGAAAAAAGTCCAAAAGTGCCTTGTAGAACGAAAACACGTGTTATCCTATGGGAAAAAAAGTGGAAGAAAAAAAAAAAAGAGAAAATAAAAAAATAACAAAAACAAGAGCTGTTTCGGTGTGTACACCGAAACAGCTAAAAAAGGAAAACATTTTTTTTTTACGAAAACAAGAGCTGTTCCCAATTGAAATTGAGAACAGCTAAAAAAAAAGGGAAAAAAAATTTGAACGAAAACAACAGCTGTTCCATATTGAAATTGGGAACAGCTAATAATAATATTAACAAACAGCACTTATATTAGACACAGTTTATATGCAAGACATTCAAGGATCCAGTCTAGATGGTGAAGAGAAAACTCAATTTTGTGGAAGAAATGTTATGTTTTCAGCTGCCACTGAACATTTGTGATGTCATATTCTTGTCTGAGATATTTGGGAAGTGAGTTCCAACAGCGAGGAGCAATGTTAGAATAAGGTCTGTCTCCGTAACTGACTACCAGTCTGAGGAACAGGAGACTTTTGTTCGTTGACCTTAGAACTGACCTGTCAGAGCAGGGTTGCAGCACGTTCTTGAGATAAAGGGGCAGTGCCATGAAGTGTCTTTAATGTGACGAGGAGGACCTTGATCTGAATTAAGTTTTTGATGTAGCTTGTTGAGGATGGGAGTGATGTGATCTGATTTTGTAGAACCTGCCAGAATATACGCACAGCATTGTTTTGTACTATGTGCAGATGATACTGTGTGGAAAACCTGAAGCTGTTGCAGAAATTGTGTTTGAAGGTGACAAAGGACATGGATGAGTTGTACTTCCAAATTCTGAGATGGTAGTTGCCTGATTTTTGCTATACTTCTTAGATGCATGTATCTGACAATTCCTAGAAACCTGGGGCCATATTCATGAAACCTTACTAAATAAGCAGTCAACTAGGCCTTAGTAGGATACTAAAATGCCTAGTAGTCTACTATGGAGTTGACAACTAAATTGTTATTCATGAAACCTTACTAAAACCTTGCTAACTAGTTGCTTACTAGAAGAATTTAGTTCCATACGTGAGTAACTGGAATTGGGTGCTTGTGGGTGGAGTGGGCACAAGGGCGGATCCAGGGGGGGGGGGCCAAAGGGGGCCATGGCCCCCCCCCCAAAACGAAACCATTTTTTTTTTTTTAATGTAACATCGCAATAAAGGCAGGCAATGAGTACACCACCATCTTTTCCTCAAAAAAACATTGGTTAAAGTGGTCAGAAATTGCCTCAGATCGCACCACAGAGCATCTAGAATCCAAAAAAATGTCGGGGCCCTTAAGCAGGCCCCGAACCCCACGCCGTAATTTTTTTGACCCACTTTTTTGGGGGACCAAATTTTTTTTTTTGGCCCCCCCCAAAATTGTGTTCTGGATCCGCCCTTGAGTGGGCATGTATGGAATGTGATGACAACAGATACAATAGTGTGACAGGTGTATCAGCCTAATCCATGTCCAGCACTTGCGTGGACTAGCAAAAAAAGAAGGGAAAAAGTGACCAAGGCCTATATGTGGTATAGTGTACTGCAAGTAAGTAAATCAACATCAAATTCTCTAGCAATTGCATATAATGCAAAAGGGCAAGGAAGGCAAATTATTCTCAAGAAGAGAACTCTTTATGGTAGACAAGTATGAGGAATTAAAATATATTGTTGATGCCAAGCTTAAGGATGCAAATTCTAACAAGAAAAAGAAAGATGCATGGCCAGCTATTCTTAGCCAACACTGAGCAAGATTTCCACAGGTCGAAAGATCATTGGATGATTTAAAACTAGATTATCCAAATTAAAATCCGAGTCAAGAGAATGCCTGTCAAGTATGAGAAAGTCCATGAAGGCAACCAGAGGGGGAAAAACACCTAAAAAGCCAAGTCTGGCACAACAAAAAAATGATATACCGTACTTGCTAACTAGTGACTTAGAGTTGCCCTGGATCTATGCTAACTTTAGTAAGAAACTTAGAATGTAACTAGCATCAACAATGTTTCATGAATACCGATTACTTACCAACTAGGCTTAGTAAGCAACTACATGCCTATTTAGTAATCAACTAGGCTTAGTAAGGTTTCATGAATATGGCCCCTGTTTTTCCAAATTCAAATACTGGTCAATCGACATGCGCATCTGTGCTGGGTAAAGCGGACAATCACCTATCTGTATGTGTTTGTTATGAGGATTGAACTTCAAGATTTTATCTAGCATCCATTTCTTACCTGATATGTTTAATTGTAATTTTTTGTAATATATGGATATCTGTACCTTTCTATGTCATATACAATTGCCAAAGCACCCTTGTCATACTGGACATTAATAATGGATTAATTGTGTGGTCAGGCACAACCCGACCACTGTTTAAAATCGTTCGGATTAATCTTTGTTTAGGTCTTTCTTTTGTTTCCGGACAATACTTCTCAGTGGGTTTTCTCCTAAATGGTTGATGCTATGAACATGTAACTTTCAACATATATCAACCCTTATCCTGAGTGGTGCATATTACTCTGACGTCATTATGACGTCATCGGGTGTCAAATTACAAGCATGGGCGTCACCAGGATTGTTTCTTGAGGGGGCAAAACATATTTTTTGCCAAAAAAATGCCTGTATTTCTCAACACATTCTCGATTTATCAGTTTTAGAGGGGGGCAGGGACATTTTGCCCCCCCCCCCCCCTCCCCACCATTAAATTTACACCATGACTTCGTGCCTCTTTTTCTTCTTTTTTTTGCTTTTGCGGGGGGGGGGGGGGGGGGGGGGGGGGGCAAGTGCCCCCCCCTTGCCCCCCCCCCCTGGCGACGCCCATGATTACAAGCGATTTTTGTTGAAAAAATTACGATCTTCTTTCACCTATAACTCGATCTTGAACAAAAGGATCAATTATGCTCCAACCGTGTAATTGGATAGACTATTAGTTGAAGTGGCGTATCCAGGGGGGGGGGGTAGCATTTTGCCCCCCCCCTTGCAAATTTTTGTTCGAAAAATATTTTGTCAGTTACTATTTCCATATATGGTTAGATCAGTTCTTTCGTGATCCCAAAAACCAAGCTCCAAACCCATTACAAATTACAATGCGCTGTAAAAATCGGCATTTTCTAGTATTGATTTTGAAGAGTGCTCCCATTGGGAAGATGGGTACCAGCCACTCCCCCAGCCCCTTACTCATAGTTAATGCTCGCCAAAACTGAGAGGGCAATACATAATTTTCACTGGTGTGCAATGTATTCTTAAGTGTTTACTCATTTTTTGTACACGTTTATATGACAACTTGTTAACATAGGGACTTTTTTTAGTTTAGATGACCTCATATAAGGCTCAAAAGTTGGGCTGGCAAAAGCTCCCAACTGGGCATTTTTTGAAAATTGGGCACTTTTGTTCCACAAGCATGCACATTGGGGTGAAGAGGGTATGGCGAGCAATACTTTGTATTGGGCCAATGGTGTGCGACCTTAACTCACGATTGTACTTGATGAGTTGAGAAAACAGTAGCGTACTTGGCGTGCATATATGTTGAGACCCAGTGATTAATCTTTGAAAATCAACATAAAATCAACTGTGAGAGATCTGATTTTGCTTTGTGCAGGAATTGATACAATACTCCAGGGTTTTCATTTTTTCATATTACGTGCAAAATCACGTGATCCTTCCTTCTGGTCCAAACCGGAAGTGCCTTGTAATTTGAAATTTGAAAAAGATGTTAACTTGCTTGAAACGATGTTAGTCTCTGGCTAGGTTGTACTTTAGACAACTTAATGCATTAAGTTGTCTAAAGTACAACCTAGCGGCAGGTTGAAGAACCTAGCGGCAGGTTGAAGAAATTTTGAAAATGATTTTCAGTAGAAAGTGGTAAATTTTATGACATATGAAATAGATGCCAGCCCGACCACTCTGCGTTTGTAACTCAACAAACGTGAATCTCTAGTTGAAGAGTGTACATTTGACTATATACCAAGTCAAGAAATAAGACTCATTTTAACTCCATGAGCATGTTTTGAATGATTTGGCAGAGCTTAAGGGAGATTGAGGAAGAACGAAGAGCAAAGACAGAAGCCTTAGCGAAGTGGAGAGAGTTGCTGCAGAAAGCTGAGACACCAAGCATTGGTGGAACATCAGATCCGGATGAACTTGAAGATGAACACCAACAGAAGCTGGATTTGACTAAGCATCTGGTTGAGCTACAGTCCAACATACATCTGGTAACAATTATTTCAATATTTTTTGTATTAGAACTTTTCTTCGGTAACCTGTTCAGTGCTTTAGCAAATTTTTCATTGGATTCCAGTGGCCAATTTCACAGTTCTTGCAACATGGAATGCTGCACTTATGATAACTTTTCTTTGTCCAGCATCAAATCACTGTGTTATGTGCAAATGTATACAAGAGAAAAGTTCTTGCTAACCTACAAGTAGCCTTGGTGAAGGCGTTCGTCATTATTTGTCCGTACACGGTAAATGATCGGCGGCATATGCTTGCTATGCAGTGCATTAGAAATACAGTGCGAACAGTAACCTCATGCAGCCATGCTATTCATTTGGATCCAGACGAACGCCTTGGTCCAATCGTCCATTTGTGAGGTCTTGGGAGTGGTGCTCATTATGCTAATAGCCTAAACTGACCTTAAAATCATTTTCTTATTGGTCGAACGTGGCATGGAAACTTGCATATAGTAAGCGAGCGGTACTGATGGCGACTCGGGCATGTACTGTACGTGATACCACACATACACACACGTTGTGTGTCGATGTCTCACATTACACACAGCACCAATGCACACAAAAATGTGGTTTCTGACATGTCCGCAAAGGGGGAATAGCTGCAAATGATTTGATGACGTTGAGATTTACCAAGGTGTGATTGCACATTGCACATATTAGCCCCGCCTACACTTATCTGTATTTGCATTTGAGGTAGTGTGCTGCAAATCTAGTGGAAAATAGCTTTCGGGGACGATTGGACCAAGGCTTTCTTCTGGATCCAAATGATTTGCATAAAATAGTGGCTGCATGAAGTCGCTCTTCGCACTTTATTAAATGAGGGGGAAAGGAAAGCCAGGGGAAGGCCATAGGTGATTTAGGTAGCATTTTCAAACCATTCACAATTATATCACAAGTTAAATCAGAAGTTAATCACAAGTCATTTCATAGGTAACAAAGTGCCTTTGTCGCATTTCATTTGAAAACTGTGTCATGTAACAGGTAACTGGGTACCTTGATTGAAAGTCTGCGTGTTCTTAACCTGAAAAGGTGGGGGAATGAAAATCTATTATTTTGGTACAATTTATGTCAATTTGTTTTCCACATTGATTGGCCTATCATGAGTTCTATGCACTGTGACAATTAGGTTACCATTTACTTATATATAAAGATGTTAGACTCTCTTTGTATCAGTGTGATGGGGATGTTTGTACAGTGATGCATTTTGTTATTATTATATATTTTGCCTTTAAAACAACAAAAATATAAATCAATCACGTGGACAAACACTAGACAGAAAAGACACATGACCAAAATAACAAGACCATACTAACCCAAAGCAATCAACCCACCTAGACACATGACCAAACCAAGTAGACCCGAATTACAGACCAAGCACAAGGACCAGTGAAGGGCAGTGTATAATAGTATATATAGGGCGCTACTGCTAGTCAAGTACGAAACAAGAAATGGTATAAAAATTCATTGTTTTTACCCCCCAAAATGGTCTACATTAAGAAAATCAAAATATTAACAATAAACAATGAAAAGATAAACAGGGTAAAAAAATGGATAATAACATACATGCATCCTATATTAAAAGATCTTCTGCTGTCTGTCTGTCTGTCTGGGTGTCTGCAAGGGCGGATCCAGGGGGGGGGGCCAAAGGGGGCCATGGCCCCCCCCCCAAACGAAACCAATTTTTTTTATTTTTATGTGACATCGCAATAAAGGCAGGCAATGAGTACACCAACATCTTTCCTCAAAAAACATTGGTTAAGGCCAAAAAAAAAAGTCTCCGGTTTCTGGTATGCGCGTGCGTCGCCGTAGCCATGCGCGTCGGCAAAATGAACAAGTTTTTATTTCAATGAAAGATAATGTCTCAAAACCGCCAAACTCACTGGTTTGACTGGAATCCTGCTGCTGCACAATTTTAACGTGTTTTTAGATGGGGTTATGATCAAGAATAAGCTTTATGTGGCCTCTCTGGACTCCCATATATTTGCACTAAGTTTAGTCGGGCACCATTTGCAGTCATCAGCCGACATTTGAAGCAAAAAAGTCAGGGTAAAAAAAAAAAAAGCCGCGTCGCCGCACCACTTTTTTGGCAAGCTCCATACCAGAAACCGGAGACTTTTTTGGGGGGGCCTAAAGTGGTCAGAAATTGCCTCAGATCGCACCACAGAGCATCTAGAATCCAACAATTTTTTGACCCACTTTTTGGGGGGAGCACATTTTTTTTGGCCCCCCCAAAATTGTGTTCTGGATCTGCCCTTGGGTGTCTGTCTGTCTGATGTCAGTGTGTCACATGTTTTTGAAAAGGCCTAAAGAATGTGCGCAAGCACAAAATGCAATGGATAATGGAGAGGTTTGGTTGTAGTATGCAGGTCCTTAAATGGTATGCTCCAATTTCACTTTCCAAAGTCACAGTTGGCACGTGAAAAAAATTATTCATGTTTTTTTTTGTTTTTTTTTGCACATTTGTTTCTTTCAAATAATTCAATATTCTTGTGTTTTTGGTGCTAGATGGTTTGAAAATGGTTGTTAGAACTGACCACATTCTTAATTAAAGTCCTCATTTATAGTTTGCCTAGTAATAAATGTTAGGCAAGGAGAACTTAAGGGCGGAGGGGAGTAATGTTATGGTCAGATGTTTCATTGTATGCTTTGTTGACTCCATCCTTTTGTTAATTAAAGGGAATATACATCATTTGCTTTTGCTGTAATTTTCAGAAATGGATGGAATTGGGGGGTTGGAAATATAAAGCAAATATAGTTACACTGACTTGTTATAGGTTTTGGGTTCGAAAATGCTATAAAAACCAAGAAAAACGATCATTTTCCTGTAGTCTGGTTCCCTGACTCCATATAAGAAGAAACAGAGCAGTTTACATACATTGGGGAATTGTAAGGTCAGGGAACCAGTCTAGCTGGCTCGTACCCGTTCATAGGTTTGTAATCGATTGCTAACAAGTGCAATGGTCAATTGGGGCCAGTATTTGAAAAAAAGCCAGTTGTTTCCAACGCTGATCGGCCGATCAGCGTTGGAAATTTGATACAAAAATACCACTTTTCTTGAAAATGACAGTATACCAGGTGCCATAATTTTACAGGATGCTTTAGACTGTCATTTACCAACATCCTATTGTGGTATTTCGCAAAAACTTGGTAGTTTTATTTTTCGATGTTTGCAAATGTTGTATATTCCCTTTAAATAGTCTGATTATGTAATACGCCCGGCTTGCAGTTTGAACAATAAAATCACCCAGAGCGGGCAATTCAGAACCAGAAACGAGGTGTGGCAGGACGTGTTTTTGTCTGGCTCTCCTAGGATCGTGATAACGTGACAGAGACCTAACAACATCTACTATGAGATAATTGCCTACAGTGCAGTTGACGTTTCCATGTTCTTTTGTAAGTTTCTTTCCTGGTTGACACACAGAAGGCACATCAAGGTTTTGGAGCATTATTACCAGTGATGTTGGTGCCGCATTCTTCCTGTCAAATGGTACAGTCACACTCACACCAGCACATTGAGGCAAAGTTGACAATACTTAATTCCACTTTGAATATATCACATGTCAAGCATAATATTGCCCCCCCCAAAAAAAAAATTCTATACGTCAAGCAGGGGCAGACAGAGGAAGCACTTCACTTCAAAGACAAGTTCACGGCAACCTTCGAGTAGTATGCCATCTATGCAGATGTTTGGGAGAAATGGGGTTGAGGAGGAAAGACATACTCACATTTAAGTGCTCAAATGGCTCAGGAAGGAGAGCAAGCAGATGCATTAGGCTACAAGATGTGCTGAGCCTCATACAACAATTTGCAGCATGTTCCAGCTCGCCTGCAAGTCTCGTATTAGTTTGTTCGGCCATTAGCACGTACATCAAAAGAATTAATTGTTGGAGGCATCTTGATCATTATCAAGGGATTGACAAGAGCGAGAGAGACTACTGTGATGTCTGTAAATGCACCAAATGTTTTTATGGTAGTAAAAAAAAACAGTTGTTATGGTTTGGTTTCAGGCTAGACTGGATGCTTCCCTGATACGCAATGGTGACTTCCTTGCTGATGTGAGCTCTGCCGATGAGAGTCGCTGGAGGCAATATAATGAGAGAGCTAAGATTCAAGAAGAACAAGACAGACTCAAGGTAAATTGATAGATAACCTTGTTTTATTGGTTTGACGTTAGAATTTATCCTTGTTTTGTGACTGCACCTTAAACATTTTACTGTTCATGACACATTCTCTATAATTCCTTGTGGTGGTCGTATGGATGTTCATTTCCCATAAACAGGCTACTGTTACCAGAAGGAAATATTGCTTGCCACTAAAATCAATAAACTGGCAGGCTCCAATAAAAAGAATTCCCACGCTGTCGCAGTGGTTGTCCTGTGCTACTGCACTGTAAAAAAGAAAAATCAAATCAAATTATCCCAATTGCTTTAACATAAAAGGTGGCAAGCTGTGTCTGTAATTTCTTGGCCCATGACAAATTCTGAATAGTTGTCCTCACTTAATACTGAATTTTTCTAAAGAATTTTACCCACATTCTCTATTAAGGGCCTGTCACATATTATCAATTAGAGCTAACTTATGCCTAGCGTACTTAACTTTTTTTTTTAAATTTGGCAAAGTCCAGATACACTCAAATTACACGTGCATACCCTTCTTGTTGTGATTAATAATAAACTGTATGCCATAGGATAATTTTAAAAAAGTAAAAATAATAATGTAGTGGGACGGCAACAAGGAGGCCGGCCCTCTAGTTAAAGAGGACGAGCACCAGGGGCAGAAAAAGGATGAGAAGCAGACCAAAATGAAAGTCACTCTGAGAAGCTGACTTTAGTTAACAGACGATTGGAACTTTTATTTACTCCAACTCCAAGATGTACTGGAATGAAATAAACCCCCATTGCCTGGAATAAACAAAACATTATACAGCTCGGTAAGGAAATGCACACATACCGGAATGTACATACAGACTGTACACAATGCACACTGTGCATAATACATGGTAACTGTGCTACACGTACTGGCCTTTCAGCATGTCATAAACACGTGAGAGACTTTTAGTTAAACAAAATTCACGTTCTGCCATAATTCCTACAAATATTACATTATTATACTCACTGGAGGTTTCTTAGGGAAATGCTCTACCCCGCAGGACACATGGCCGTCATGGCATTTAATAATTTTTAAAAATTAATTGTGTTTTACTGTCCGTATAAATTGTTGAAGTCAAATAAATAATAACAATAATAACATGTGCGGATAATTTTCTGAGATGCATGCTATATCGATGTTGAGTTTCGAGTTTTATGTTTTTACACACAATGATTTAGGACCATGCAATAGAAATATCCCGCCAACATACCTTGAAAACGAATGCTGATTTATCTTTTCTGGACATTGTGATAAACTCAAACTCTATTACCAATTCTTCCAACCATACTCTTAAATTCCATGATTAAAATGTCGCACTGATGGGTCTCATCCCGGTAATAAGCGACCAATGTGCTCACGATTGTCACTGAACAGTAGTTATTACACACGTACACATCCACCCATCCACGAGGTGCACACAAATGACACACCATTGAAAAATATTGTTAGTCTGGTCTTCAAGTACTCCACTGCGGCGCACACCGCATTGATGTCTATCAGGTGCTTGATCGCATTGATTATTAGACTTGTCACCAGTCCATCCATTATCGTAACATTTCGTCAGAAGTTTTCAGGCAAAAACGATACTTTACATGTATTTTTTCTTTAGGTAGAAAATGGGAAATTCGTAATTTTTTAGTGGCAATTCGTATTTTCGTAATTTAACAAAAAAATTGTAATAATTACGAAAAATTTGTAATAGTTGGCAGCTATGCTACACCCCACGTGCTAAACGTTCACACAGTGAGTGTTCAACGTATACATAGTGTATTGATCACTACGTTGTTGCCTGCTCAAAATTTTCAACATGTTCAAAATTTTCCTAGTTTTCAGCGCACCTCTGCGAACCCCTACGAACCGCTAACGAATACAACTTATGCCAAACGTGTCACAAACAAATGACAACTTACACGAACATACACCCAAATTTCCAAAAATTTCGGGCACACGTTAGCTCTATTCGCAACAGTGTGACAGGGCCTTTAGGGTAGCCGCATTGAATAACAGTTGGACTAAGTGTTGGATTCATTCGTGTAACCTACATGGAAGTGGCTATTCGGGAGCAGTCAATTGAACTGTAATGCCCCTCCAGTTATCAATAGCCATGGGATTGTAATGAATAGTAGTAATATAAAATGCTCTTAGATTCCATGGCTGCCTCGGTAGAGGCTAAATGTGACAACAAATGCCAGAGTTGGTAAAAAAAATGGTTTTTAGAGACCAACATGAGAATTAAATTTGTTTCGGTACTTGTGACAGAAGAATGTTACATATGGGATACAGCTTGTCAAATGTTCCATTTGTGATCTGTGGGACTTTGAAATGTAGCTACTGAATTTTCATAATTTGTTATACTGTGATTGTCGCATTTCTTTCTTTCTTTCTTTCTTTCTTTCTTTCTTCGGGCAGCCGTGACCAATGAAAAAATGGCCATTACTTCTAAACTTTTCAGCCGATTTCAAACAGACTTGGTCAAATTAAACCTTGACACATGCCCTACCTGGCCATGTTCACAAAATCTGGCCAATGGTTATCCATTGGTCAGTAGTGGTCATTTAATGAATATTTACAAAATGCTTCTTCTCCCACAGGGAGGGGTGAGAAACCTGCGAAAAACCCGTTTGGGAGAAAACACGGGGAAATTCCCATCCGGCTCCTTATTATTATGGCAACTAACTTTGTTAACTCCATAGATCAGCACATATTTAGATTTGTATTATCAGAGAAGACAGCGACAAATACTCACATACTTATTTGCAGAAATATTACTGACTGAACATTTTACGTAGTTCAGATTTGAATGAGGTTAGAGAAGTCATGGTTCTCAATGGCACATGCAAATTATTCCATATGATTGTACCAGTTACAGCAAAGCTTGAGGCATAACATTGGTTTTTTTTTGCAAAAGGAATCCTCAGTGCCATATCAGTGGATTGTCTGGTTTCACGAATCTGAATAAGTGGTGCAAACATATTTGTCATATACAAAGGAGTAATTGTGTTTATACATTTGTAAACAAGAATAGCCTTTTTATACTCAACTCTTTCAGCAAATGACATCCAATTAAGACCAGCAAACATATCGGCTGAAGGAGTTAAGAATGCACACTTCAGGATTATCCGCGCTGCTCTTGTCAGACATTAATTAAGAATATTGTCGTGTGATGTGTACCTTCCTCCCCATACAGTACTACAATAATCTAAAGATGGTATAACTAAGCTAACAAAAAGAGAGTGCAGACTGCTATGGGGAACATAGTCATGGATTCTATTTAGCATACCTAGTTTAGAGGAAACAGTTTTCTTCACGTATTCAACGTGTAGGCCCCAACTTAAAGTGTCATCAATAATAACACCTAAACATTTACAAGAGTTCACCTTTACAACTGGACTACCATCAATACTGACATTAAGGTCAGTACTGCAGACTTTCATTTTAGTTCCAATAAGAATGGATTTGGTTTTGCTGGCATTTATTGTAAGTTTGTTTCTGAAGCACCAATCATAAATTCTCACTAGGGCTGTATTCAAGTTGTTCTCTATTTCATCAACACTGCTAGAACTACACGTTTATGTCCAGTCATCGGCATACATGAACAAATTACACTCTCTAGGGATACAAAGCACAAATTACACTCTCTAGGGATACAAAGCGGAAGGTCACTTAAAATAATAAATAACAGTGGACCTAAAATTGATCCCTGTAGTGCCAGTGTTAAGTGGTAGGGCTTTAGATATGTTGCCCTCAATATTCACAGATTGACTATGTTCACTTAGATATGACTTAAACCAGTTGATGACAGAGGTTGACATATTAACCCTTTCAAGTTTATCTAGGAGAGTTGCATGATCAACAGAGTCAAATGTTTTACTTAGATCTATAAAAACAGTGCCTGTTATTTCCCCACGCTCCATAGCCGGAAAACATTTGTTCGTTAAATTATGTAAGGTAGTTTTAGTTTATGAGTATTATTAACCACCATGCACCAATGAAATCAAAATGTATTTGTGGTGCATTGTTGCCTTGGCTCGATGGGGAAATTCTAACACTTATGCGACAGCGAGACCATGCAAATAAAGTGGTTAGATGTTCAGGCTCACAAAATGATTGGAGCGCATACAAAAAGCTTCGAAACATGACCACTGAAAAAAATCCACAAGAAAAGCGAACACTTTCAATCAACCAACGAGGAAAATAAAAGGCAACTCTTCCATTCTGTGGAAAAAACTAAAAGAGGTTCTCCCCAATAAACAGACAAGTATTCCAAAGTCTATTTTTTCCCAGAATGGGGAATTCATTGATGATCTCACCGACATTGCTGATACTTTTAACGAACATTTCTCAACAATCGGAACACGTATGGCCAGTAATCATGACGTCACTCTTCGGGGCACAACTTTGCCATAAGGACAATGCATATGCTTAATTTGAATGATGCATGACGAAGTTCAATGCCAAAAGTGGCGTGTACTAAAATCGTGTACAAAGTCTAAGGGAAATTTGCGTGAAACAAAAAGAAGAAAGAAACTAGAGCTGTATGTCTGTTTGAAAACAGAACACAGGGCTTTTTCACATTTTACAAATGTTTATGCTATGTTTGTCCTTTGCAGTCACTTTCTAGAGTATTTAATACAGTTAAAGGTTGTTCACGGTGCTTAGAATAATTCCAAAAATAAAGCTTTATCACATGACGTCACATGCCCTGCGATGCCGTCATCTTGAAAACCCTTATCAATGCACATTTTGTCATTGTGGTCTGGGTATGAACCAAGTTTACAGTTAATCTGATGAAAGGAAGTGTGCAATTTTGGTAGCAGAATAAAATTATCAATATTAAAAATATCATAAAAAATCAACCGATGACGTCATTGTGACGTCACTTCAGACTTGGCATACTAGTACCATTATCTACCTACCCACCAAGTTTCATGACGATCGGACCTCTCCTTATATGTGTTTTGAAAAATGGCATTTTTGATGATGTCATGATGACGTCATACACTTTTCAAAATTTTGTGCAAATACCTATTACCTAACGAACCAAATACAAAAAGAATTTTGCATATTGCGTTCGTGAGATATGGCTAAGAGGTCAAAAAATTCAAATATTCATATAAAATTGCATGATAACGTCATCATGACGTCACCTCATTTTTTACCTATAACACATCCCGGTCTACCCACATACATGTACCAAGTTTCAGCCCAATCGGACTTACAGTTCTGTAGATATAGGACTTCAAATATGCATGTTTGTGATGACGTCACGTGACCCCTGATGACGTAATCATGACGTCACTCTTCGGGACACAACTTTGCCATAAGGACAATGCATATGCTTAATTTGAATGAATAAAGACAAAGTTCAATGCCAAAAGTGGCGTGTACTAAAATCGTGTACAAGGTTTATGGGTTTTTGCATGGAACAAAAAGAAGAAATAAGAACAACAAAAAAAACGAGACTTATGTTTGTGGACAAACACAGGGCTGTTTCGGTATTTTTTTGTGACATGTGACATGTAAAGTTTCAAGTATAAGTTCCATCCAGGAAGGATGTGTAGTTCTGTTGATAATAACTGGTGGGTATAATATATGATTACATTCCCATAGAGCTTTGAATTTTGATGTTACATGTGATGTGATGACCTCATGATGACGTCACATCAATTTTCATCTATAACTATATTTTTGTTTGTAAATAACAACTTAGCCATAGCATATATCGTTGAAAGCAAGTTCACATCTTTCCTCAATTTCAAATTACAAGATACTTCCGGTTTGAACCGGAAGGAAGGGTCACATGATTTGCACATAATATAAAAAAATTAAGACCCTGGATTATTCTATCGATTCCCGCAAACGTTAAGTTCAGGTCTCTCACAGTTGATTTTATATTGATTTTCAAAGATCTATTAATCTTTAACGTGACGTCACGTGACCCATGATGACGTCATCGTGACGTCACTTCAATTTTCAACTATAACACATCCTGGTCTAGGCACATGCCAACTTTCAACCCCATCGGACCTGTAGTTCAGGAGATATGGGCCTTCAAAATATGTATATTTTATATGATGTCATATGTCACGTGATGACGTCATCATGACGTCAAGTAATTTTTCATCTATAAGACATCCCGGTCTAGGTACAT